CTCAAATGCTTTCTCGTATTTCTCTTGTTTCATGTTGAAACTTTTCGAAATTTCCTCTTTAACTTTGTCCATGGCTGCGTAAATGTATCCCATAGGTGGTTTTCTTTCTCCATCAACTAGCCTTAGCACTTTTACCAGAGGACCCGTCAACTTAAGAGCATAAGTAACATTTCTCCAAAAGCTATCTTGCAAAAGATATTGTTTCACCTTCTTTCCACCAGCTTCCTTTGGCCATTTAGACTTGTTGAATTCATCAGAATTAACCAACTTCTTCAAGTTCTTCTGTTGTTTGTGATATTGTCCCATAATTATGAATGACGTAGCGAACTTTGTTACCGCCGGCCTATGCAGATTTCTTTTTTCCGTGAATTTCCTCATCATGTTCACAAGAGGAATATGACTGTAGATATATTCATTCATGAAAATGCACTTCTTCAATGCACTTCTCACTGGAGCAAATCTTCCAATGTCCTCCAACATCAGATCGATGCAATGTGCAGCACAAGGAGTCCAATAGAGATGTGGTCGTTTCGCCTGGAGCAATTTTCCTAAACGTTATATTTAAAAAAATTGTTATGTTCACTCTTCTCTATCTTTGAAAAGTAAGAAAAGAGAAAGAGTAGATATATCTTTTCTTACCAGCTGCAATATNGTTAGATGCATTGTCAGTGANAACTTGAACAACATTTGCCTCTCCCACTTCTTCAACCATATCGTCAAGCAACTGAAACAACAATGTNGCATCTTTCACAACTTCTGAAACGTCTTTCGAAACGATGAAAACCGAACCTTTCGGAGAGTTGACTAAGAAATTAATTATATCTTTCTTAGATATCGTATCACGCCATCCATCTGACATAATTGAACATCCTTTAGTTGCCCACTCTTTCTTATGGACCGAGAGTTGAGTGAGAGTGTTGTTTACTTCTTTCTTAAGCAACATACCATACTGTCCAATCAATTCACACATCTCCGGAAAAATATCATAAGTAACGGAGTTAAATGGAATTCCAGCATCATACATCCACCTAGCAATACCTCCACAAGCCTTATCTCTTAGTTCTTTGTCACACACTCCAAAAATATNTTTCCTATCCTTTCTTCCTTNCAATATATCCGGAGGAGGTGAAGTAACAAANCTGTCTAATGGACCTTTCACTTTTCGCTTCTTAGATTGAGTCGGTCGCTTAGACGTCCCTTNCATCTCTTCGTCAACATCNTAATCATCANGTTCTATAGGAATCTCTNGCATNATTCGAGCTGCTTTGTCTTCTGCTTTTTTGATCATGTAACTCCGCAACTCTTCTCGCACATGTTCTGGACATAACGTACACGCTCTCGCATTCCTAAAACCTCCAATCAAGTGCTGTTTGAGGCGTGAAACTCCTCCATTCGTCACTCATACAGAAAATACACTTCCATGAGTTATTATCCTTATCAACGCTTGTTCCATATTTTCTTCCTAGATCTACTCCTCTAGGATCAACCATCAGATACAAGGAACAATAT